TGTGCAGAGCGTCTTTTCTGTTTATGGGATTTATAGGTTTGAATACTGAAAATACATATTGGCATATGTAAATTGCTCATGTGGAAAGTCACATATTGAAGGCCAGTTGCAAGCATAAATCTTCCCCTTTGTGCTTGAATTGTTCATTTGCTGGTGTAAATGGATTCTCCCATATGCGCTATATTTTTAGAAATTATTTGAATAAAACCCTTTGGAAAAGCAAACAGAATGAAATGAGCTAGACAGAGTGTAATACTGATACAAAAATAATTGTATATAAAGGATATCTTTTTTGTCAGTTGTTGTTGCTGTCTCTTCATCAAAAGAAACAGTGGACAAATACAAAGATTTCTAGATAATGGACATATCCTAATGCCAAAAAAAAATCATCAATATCTGCCTAAGATTTTCATATTAGCCTCCTCAGATTCCTTTTTCTCAGCAGTGTTGTATAGCTATTAAGTGGTACTTTCTTTGTATGATACTGATGAGGGAAGGGCTGTATCTTAAGAAAGAAAACTCCTCTCCACTGACCATACCAAAATATACATTTTTATAAGTAGATTTGTTTTGAGATAGGGTATTATTAATTTTAGAAGTCAAACTTCCTTAGTTTTACTTCTTGGTACTAGAACGTTGATAACTGGCCTACTTATGCCATCTTCTGGGTAGTTACAGAACTGTCTTTACACAGGAAAAGCCTCTATCAAGAAGCATTAATAATTACCAGTGCCTTGAAATAATTTGCTAATTGAATCCCTGAAGTAACTTTCTGTCTTATTTTATAGACTTCAGAACAAATCAAAAACTACTGAATTATTAATAATGTATCATATTCAGCTATTATGATTAATAAGTAGATTGTACAAAAAAAATCTTTGTAAGTGTGGTCCCAACAAAATTAATATATTTAGTGAAGTTATATTTTAAGAAAAAATGCTTTTTTATACTGATATTTTACTAATGAAACCCCCATTTTCTCAAAAGACTGGGCTTTCATCTGTTGGGGATAAATAGAAAGAAGGAATAGATGTTAGTCACGTTGCATAATACATACTGGAGGTAACGGTGCTGTGCGACACTCCGTTACTATTCTGATGCAAGCAGTAAAAGAACCTGCAAAGAGCAGATGATGTTGTATGAGCATCTGGAAATTTTAGCTTTGCTATTGTATTTAGTCATTTAGTCACTCTTGCCAAATCTCGCCTCGGGTAATTACCCGATGGGGACAGGGAAAAAGCCTGAAGGGCCCCCGCTGCCTTCTGCAGCCTCAGCTTGCTTCGTTTTCTGTAGTACAGAATGGCTGTCTTGCGAACTGGGGTTTACTGCAACGTCCTCAGCAGGAGAGAGGTGACACAGGCAGAGCAGAAGAAATGTAGAGGTTTATCCTTCAGAGTAAAACATGTTTATGAGTTTGAGTTTCAGTTCACACGGCATAGGGTAACTGGAAATAGCAGGCTCCTACCACAAGTGTTAAGCGAAACAAAATGGGCATCTGAAATATTAAATATTCAAGTTTTTCAGGTGCCTTCTGTTTCTTGAGAAATGTACCAGTCCCTAAGAAATGTACATTCAGGATAGAATTAAGTAATTACAGTAGACGTCGTGAATTATGTTACTCCAGTCATCAAGAAAGCATCCTGGTCAGATCCAGGTCAGTGTGCCATGTTTCACTAACAGGGTTAGCACAGGAGAATAGAGGTTTCCATTTTGAAGACTTCTCATCACTTCTGAAAAGTGTGAAATAATGGGAGTGTGAAGAGCAGAAATGGCACAAGGAGGTGATGGTACAGCACCTGCTTGCCTGTGCTTTGCATGTGTCTTCCCAGTCACCAGCTTTCCCATCCAAGTGCGACTACAGGCTAACATGGAAAGCCACATTGCAATGGCATAAATCTCTCATTATTCTCAGTCTTCAGCGTCAGCATGTGTTAAGAAAGAAAAAGCCCATTTTCAGTTTCTTTGAAGGCGATAGTGGCTTTTGAACGGAGTTGAGGAACTTTGCCACTACCACAAGTGCTACAACGTCTGTTCCCTGCTTGCTCTCAGAAAATCTTGAGAAAAGTCCCCAGCGTGGCCTATGGGTTTTTTTAAAACACTAGTCCAACACTCCGTTACTAAGTGTTTAATTATTAGGACTGTGAAATACAACACCACCTAAGGCATTAATAGAAGAAACTAATTATAGCCCACTCAGCATGGGGTTTACCCTTCACTTACAAAATCTCTTGTCATTTATTTGTCCTTTAAATGACTTCTTGTAATATCAGGACAAACGAATCCTTCAGAAGGGAGAAAATGACCCCAAACCGGCACAGAAAGATTTGATTAAAACTTACACTCCTTCTGCGGCAGCCTAAAGATCCCGGGGGATCTGCCATTGCTCAGCAGAGTAGAGGAAATAGCAGACGAGGGAAATGCTTTCTGTCTGAGACAAAAAGGTTTTACTGGTAACACGCTGACATCCACGCTCTGTAGGACTATCCTATGATCGGTGTCTCTTGTTTCCTTTAAAACTCAGTGTCAGAAGTTTGGTTCCCGTGTGATTAACTTCCCCTTTACTGATTGTGTGTCATTTACCTTTAAGTAAGATTTTTATAAATGAGGCAAAACAAAGACAGAGATGAAGATTGTGCGGAGATAAACAATTGTGCTGCTGGGACTCCCACTGCCTCGGGCACAGCAGGGGCCAGAAGTAATGGGGATTCACAGGCGTCATGATTAGACCTCTCGCTGGGAACAGGTAATTGAAACAGCATAGCCCATCACCAGCATTTACAAAGCAGCAAGCCATGAAGGTACTTAGTTTAAAGCAGACCCTGAACAAACCAGAGGCTTCACACGCTCCCTCTGCCATTATGTAAGAGCAAAGCATTAGCTGAGGCCGTTGATAACACCTGCTTGGGTCTGCGTAGTCAGCACCCCTCTGACAGCGGCCCTGGCATTGTCCCCTGAGCAATGGCTGTTCCTGCGGGCGATGCGTGAGCTGTCTGCCCGGCTTTGGACAGGGGCACCAGGCAGAAGCCGAGGGGCCCTGGGGAGAAATACAGCAAGTTGCCTTGACTAGATCTCCTGTCCCTCAGCCCAGGTTTGCTGCGAGCCACTGGTGGAGAAGCGGTGTATGTCAGGCAGGGACCTCAACCCTTCACGTGGGCATTGAAAGCTCCCTCAGTGACTGGGCGTCTGGTGGTTCACTGCCACCTCCAGTGAGGACAGGGTAACAGCACTTTTGAGGCCCGAAACCTGATTGGGATATCATCATAGTATTCAGTGTGTTGTGTGGCACAAGGAAACGTGCTGCGTCCAGACGCTTACCTCTTCGTCTGTCTTCTGATGCAGACCTCAGCCTACACGGTTAAGAGCAGTTTACTGACTAGCTTCCTGCAATAGTATCTTTAAAAGCGTGATTGATGCAAATGTGTGATGGAGGTGAGAAACGCTCTGATTTATGCCTCATTTTCACTACTTAGTAATCATTGTGTCTCAAGAAAGCCTCTAAATAAACCTTTTTGATTGTAATAATTTAGCACTGGAGGTATACCTCACCAGCCCGGGCCTCCCTCCTGCCAAACTCCACTAAAACATTACTGGTATCTCAAGCACGTGTTTCTAGTTTTTAAGACAGTGGGAGATTAATAAATTAATTTCGGTTTCCTTCATTCCCATTTGAGAAGAACTGTCAACTCAAACCTCAAGCACAGATGGAGAAAGAAGTAATTGTCATACGGAGCTGAGGTGCAGACCTACAACGCTAGACTTTCTGGATCCTGTTGAGTTTTGCTGTTGTCCAGACACCCGCAGTGTGATTACCTGACAGATTATCTGTCCATATTTTGGCAGCAGGGATGATAAGAGCTTTCAGCAGTTTGAGTGATTATTTAGGTGTTTGTAACATGCTTTGTAATTCCTACATAAAAGTACTCATTCCTATTAAAAGGCACACAGTGACATTTAAAATATTAGAACAATCATTCAAACGAACTGAACACCTCATTATGCACTTAAATGGTACATACAGCTACCAGAGTTAGATAAAAAGATCAATGAACAATGTGATCATTAACGGGGGTTCAAGTGTCACATCACCAAATTTGTGATTGCAAATGCTTAGTGCAAGGAATTAAGGATGGAGGAATATTTTTTGTCCAGGTAATTGCATTAATGACAGGGCTTCACAGGAATTATGAATATGGACCTTCAATGATTACAGTGCCAAAAGCAGTTTCTGAAAATCTAGATCCATTCTGCAAGTCTCTTTTTGATTATGGGAGCCGACTTATGATTTCTGTGCATGAATCCCTTACCTGTAAAATGAGGGGTTTAATTATTTGTTACTTCCATCACTGTTTGCTCCAAGACTGTATATACTAAAGATTTTGTACTATTTTGATATGACCATAGCAAAGAACCTATTCCTTGGGTCTGGTCAAAAGGAATGGTGTAAAAAGCTGCTGCAAAGGTCAACTTTATTGGTGAAAGAGAAGACATACGCAAAGCACAAGGGCTAAGTGCTATTCCTTAGTTTGCTGCAAGCTCTCTGTGTGACTGTGGTCAACCAAGGAACTCTTTCAGCCTTAATTTCTGCTCTTTAAGTACAAACACTACATCTTTCCCTCAAAACGATGCTGGGAAGCTGTAGTAGCTTAGTGTGTGTAAGTCTTCTAAATCCTTGAGGACACTGAAATAATGAATGTAACTACCTGTATGGGCACATTGCATATGATTGTAAGAAACCCCAGTGGACGTTCTCATTTGCTATACAATAGCTTTTCATTAAAACAGTTCTTTTTTTTCCCATGCAAGAGAGAGACAACTTTTTTTGGCATTAGCAACTGTGGGTCTGATCACATCTAATATTTTTGTGTTTTGTAAGCATGGTGTGCTATAGCCCCAAAACAAGTTTACACCAACAAAAAACACACAGAATAATTTAATTATTATTTTTAATCTTGCATAATTTTCAGAAGAAATAGTAAAACACAGCACAATTCTAATCTTACCAGGATGATTATAGTTTGCAATTGAAAAGCCATCTTGGTTATTAGCAGTGCTTCTAAACCACTGGCCTGATTTGAAGTCTTCCATCTGGAATTATAAGTTAAGGACAGTTTATCAGAGTAGTGACTTATTGTGTAAACAGAACCTGCTGATGGCATTTAGGAAAATTTAACTGCTTGCCACTCAGCCAAATTCTTTTATCACACTTCACTGAAGTTTCCAGCCTTGAATTATTAGTTAATAACATCTGAGCAAAAGCATAATTTATTGTTTAAGTAAACTCTGAAACAGAAGAACAGTGCCTTAGATACCAGACTTTGTGCTCGCCTTAAGCAAAGCATTTTTCTTTTAGTACAGAATTGTAATAGAACAGCAGTAAGATTTGTGACTAATTCCATCTCTTATTGCCTGTATACATTACCTAATGGCAGAATACGATCTTCTGAGCTATTCTTTCCTTATACATGTATTGTAAAACCAATAGCCATCATGCTATAACTGAGCATAGGTCAACTGCACACATTCAGACAGGTACAAACCACAAATTTAAAAGTAACACATCTGTGGTTAAATTTCTTTATCATTTCCTCTGTTTTATCAACGGTGCTTGAGGAAACCCATTAATTTCTTCATCACAGTCACTTGTAGCTCATTTAAAGGAGGTAGTTATTTGAATGAAACAAATAACTGTATCTTGTCCTCGGTCAGCAATTTCTTAGCATTTAGAATATTTAAAACAGTGTAATAATAGTAACAGCCACCAGATGCCAGCATAAGCATGCAGGCACTAAATAAGTGCCGGTTTTGTGCTTAAAGGCACGATTGGTGGCAGACCTCTCAGGCCATTACACTAAGAGTAGAAGTGCACTTTCTCTTAGATGTTCCAATGTCATTGTCCTCGTTTCAGCTGGGATGGAGTTAACTTTGCTTCTAAGCAGTCAAGGACTGTTCAGCTTCTCGCGCTGGCCTGCCAGCGACTAGGCTGGGGGAGCACAAGAGGTTGGGAGGGGACACAGACAAGGACAGCTGACCCAAACTGGCCAAAGGGATATTCCATACCATACAACATCATGCTCCGTAGATAGAGTTGGGGGGAAGAAGGAGGAAGGGATGGGGACATTCGGAGTGATGGTGTTTTGTCTTCCTAAGTCACTGTTATGCGTGCTGGAGCCCTGCTTTCCTGGAGATGGCTGAACCCCTGCCTGCCCATGGAAAGTAGTGATTTAATTTCTTGGTTTGCTTTGCTTGCATGCACGGCTTTTGCTTTACCTGTGAAACTGTCTTTATCTCAACCCATGAGTTTTCTCACTGTTACTCTTCTGATTCTCTCCCCTATCCCACCAGGGAGGAGCTTGGTTGCTGACTGGGGTTAAACCACGACAGTCATGTAGAAATAAACTATCTGATCATCAAGTCAGGTCCACATGGTGCTGTACTAAAGTTAATCTTGGATTTAAAGAGACCAGTTACTGGAGAAAGGACTGTATTGCTGGCCTAGCTGGTAATTGCTTTCTCTGTTCAAAACTGGCTTATTTCCATGTAGAACTTTGACTGGAATTCCTAGCCTCGTAGATCTATTTTTTTCCTTTGCATACTACATTGGGGATCCTTAATATCAGATCTTCTATTTGTGTAAGTCTGCACAGAATATGCTAAAGTCACTCCATCATCTCTTCACAGAGAGCAGACCTCCCAGACACGTCACGTTCTTGGCTGCAGGCATGCAGTGTAGGCAGGAAGAATGAAAGGCCAGGTATTCATGGTGCAAACATACTGCAACACTTTCAAGTGCAGATGGTTCTTTTTTTCCAAATTTGTCAGTGCTTCTGCCGGAAGCCTTTGTAATACTATCAAATAGTCACAGCCTTCTGAAATCAGCTGAATGACGGAAATCGCTTCTGACAGATTTCTTCCAGAGCAGAAAACTTTGGTCCCAGAGTATTCAAAAAATCCACCGGCAAGTCCTCACTGCCAATGGAGACAGAGCAGAAGGAGTTACTTCGCTCTAGTTCTCCCTCCTCAGCATACCTGTAAGGTTCATAGATGGCCCCATAATCTTCCAGTGTGTTTTGGTAATACAGTTTCTAGAGAAGGGAAGAAGCAATGCAAATCGTCACGGAAGCTCCTATTGCCCTTTCGGAAAGTAAAGGAACTCATGGTATGCAAATGAGGCAGGTAAGCAAGGAGGGTACAGCGAAGAGCGTGAGCCTTTCTCTGACACGGAAGCGTTGCACTGAAACTCCCAGCTGCATAAGCACCAGAGCCTGAACCTCCTCTACAATACAAATGAGGCAGAAAGGAGCATTTCATCTGCCGTGGGCCAGCCAGCTAACAAGTAAACATGACTGTGTGAAGGCATGCAGTCTGGCCCAAGGAGGCACAGAGGACATGCCTGTGAACATGTCCATGCCAAGAGGAACTAAGATTTCCCTGACAGCACGGAAGTAAAAGAGCAGGCAACTGAACTTGAACCTGCACAGCAACAGAAAGCATTTTAGCCCCACTTCCCTGTCTGGAAGAATTTGTTATAGGTGACAGACACCAGCCTTGCAGTAGCTACTGGGTGACCAGCCAGAGGCAGCGAGAGGTTTAGGAGACAAGACATTTTCAACAAGAAAGAGTCTTGAATGTTTCCCCATCAAATATATCCCTTGCTTTCAATTGTAATGATTCTTAGATGTGGGCTGAGAGAGTAGCTGAAGCCATAGCAGCTTTCCAGTTTTGCAAGCCTTTCTTCCTATTCTTACAAGCCAGCTTGACAAAGGAGGGATCCAACATTCGCTTCTTACCTGACCCAGAATTTTGTCGACTGTCTCTGTGAGCCAATCAAGGTGTCTTACGTGGAATGTCTCATAACTAGTGTGCAGGCCATCCTAACAGACAAACATAGTACCTCAGGTTTGACCAGCATAAAGTCACCTACTAACATTTCTTTCAGATACAAATAAATCCAACTGTCTTTCTCTTCTCCCCATTTCTCTTGCGCTGTCTTCTCCAGTTACATTGCAGCTTTTTCTGTTCAGGGATGGTTTCTTCTTATAAATACATGTGTACATGGAGTCACCAACTGTAGGCATTCTTCATAATCTCCAATAATTAAATACGTTTCTTCCTCTAAATTTATTGGATTCCTTGTCATTAACAGCACCAAATCTGACCTCAGAACTTTATAATGTTTACTCACACAGGCAATCCTAGCTCCTAACTATGGTCTTAAGGATTGTGGAATTGGGTTCTTACACACATAAAAGAGACTATTTTATGTTTTCTTTGCCTGCTGTAAGGCAGAGATTTTTCTTAGAGTCTCTTGGTGATCACTAGGTACTTATGAACAGAACACATGGCAGTCACCTACTGAATTTCCTTCAGGCGTTCTTTACAATCAAAGTAGACATCTGTTAGAGAATACAGCACAAAATCCACAGAACAAACTCAAAAGCCTTCAAACCCATAGAAGTACATCTTATAGTCATAAAAATACTCATAAATCCAGTTGACACTTTTACAGCGTGTTAAGTAGAAGATGTTGACCTGCAAGTTTTTGATAGATATCTGAAGAATGATGGTTCCAGTTCACATACCAAGAACTGAATAAAATATTTTGCATATCAATTCAGGTACTATGATAAGAATTTTGGAAGAAATTACACTTCCAAATATTCGGTACAATAACTAATGAAAAGAAGTGCCAGTCTCAAACTGAAAGCTGTTAGGAAAAAAGAAGTTGTAAACGGTATTTTAAATAGCAGTGGAACCTCCAACAATTTTCTCATAGAATTGTATTGCATTGTTCTTCTCACTATTATTAATACCAAACTTCATTCTTGGGATTACCAATTTCTGTGGCATTAAAAAAGGCATTTACATAAGGAAAGAGGCAGTTACCTCAGCAATCACTTCTTCTTCAGCTTCCACAGACACAGGTAGATGAGCAGCATGGTCTGTAATATCCCGCTTAACCTGCATACAGGGACAGCAATGGTATTAATAAGAAACTGAACTAGGCTGTGAAGGATCACACTTCCCTGCAGACTGTTCCCTTTTTCCACTTTCATTTACTTCCTTGTTGAAAACACTAGTATGTGCAGCGTGACAAGAGATGATGTGCCTCCTCATCTGTTGGATTCACCAGTAGGATGAGGCACCTGGGAAGGTCCTGCAGATACTGAAAAATGGTAGGAGTGATAATAGGCTGTCACCAGAGTGGTAATATTCAGTCCATGCAGAACAGCACTCCCCAGATATGCTTAGTGGCAAAAAGTTTTATCGTGCTTGATACCAAAACCAGAGGAAATGTAATGAAAGAGATGACTAGTACCAGATTCAGCCACACAACAGTGGTAGGGTAATGTGAACATATGCTTTTGCACTTACTTGAGACAAAGATGTTCTGCTCTCTTCATTATATTTGATTAAAGTCTGTTCACCCTCTTGAGGTGGAACAATGACTTTGCTTTTAGAACCCGGTGTGTAAAACCGCCAAAGTAGAATACTGGAAACTGTTGAAACAAGAAAGGGAATGGTGAAATGGGCATTGTGAACAGATCTGCATGGCTCAATACAGTGGCTTGGTGAAGGACCCAGCCCAGTTCCAAATGAGCTAATTTGGAAACCTCCAGCAACTGCACTGAGCAGGCATACTAGACGACTCACAGGTAGCCAGAGGAATAGTGGTCTGATAATCTATTATTTTTTGCTTCAGATAAAGAATCAGTAGTTCATCTCTGCTGCTGCTGCTGCTACAGAGGCAGCAGCTCTGTAACAAGCAATTACCGAGTATTGTAACCCTATGGGAGAAATTAATTACTTCCAGTTAGCCAGTATATGGTTAATGTTCAAAAAAGTAAAGTATTCAATTTTATTCAATGCAAGTAAGAATATTTACTTTGTTGTACTAGAGTTCACCTTCACCACATATTTAGATTTGCCAGTTGTCTTCTAGCCACAATATAATGATTCTCACAAGTAAAAAGCTGAAAAAATCCACCTGTTAACATTGCAATTCTGTTTTATTAGTTTAGATATTTTCTTTTTTCCTAGGTTATATACTTGTATTTATTGTTGTTCATACAATAGTATTCCATGCATCTATGTTATCTTCCCATTTTCACTTCTCTATAATACACAATCCTCACCTTTTCACATCCCAGCCATGAGTGTAGATAAGTTTTAGTAATCTTCCTAGTGTCTTTTACCCTGTATTGTCAGCATTGGATACCACCTTCCTCTGCATTATGCATTGTCTGATAGTGCCTAGTAATTTGAAAGTTTTCTCGGCTATCAAAAAAGATCTCTTTGGTTACTAGATGGAAATAGCAATATCTTGTGTTGGAAAACTAAGGTCTTCCTAAAATTTGAAGAGAGAAGGGGTCATGGACCAGGACACGTGGATGGAAGCGCCATGAAGAATGCAAGTATTATCTGCTTGCACCTTGACTACACTCTAACACATAAAGGCAAATGGTCTTTCCTGTTAAGACTGGTAGATTTTAGCACATGTTCATTAGCTGCAGTTGCAATGAAATCCAATGGGCCAATGACAGATAATTTTCATGTGTAAGTTAGGAGGTTACTTACCCAGCAATAATAAGAAAGCCATCAGTATTATTGCAATGGCACCACCTCCAAGTCTCACTGCTGCTTGTGGAGGTGGTGAATCTTTACATGTACGTCCATCTGGGCAAAAGCAGAGCCTAACATGTTGATTCTGCCTTGTAGAAAATCCTTTCCTGTCCTGAATAATGATGGGTACCAAGTAGCTACCGTGTGGGAGGCTTCTTAACATGAAAAGTTCAACTGACTCCCCTAAAAAGAAGACAAGCAAATTATTTCAATAGTCACAGAAAGAAGTCTGACATTCTACAGTCCCTTCTGTTGATCATCAAAGGGAAGCTCATTTGCACCCCAATTGCAAATACTTTTTGCAGCCTCAGTGCAAACAGGACATAATAAATAGGACAAATGGACATCCCACTTTATCACCTTGCTGAGCTTTCTGGGCAACGAGATCTGTCCCAGCCTTGCTGCATTTTGGCACAGCCGCACTGATAACCTCTAGAATTCATTAGGAAGTTAACCAAATGCAGAAGTGGTTCTTCAGCTGTCTTATCCCCCTTTTTGCAATCTGAACACATTGCTTCTGGCCCCGTCCTCAGCAGAGATGAAGAACAATGTAACATGTTTTCAAATTGCAGCAAATTTCTATTTTGAAAGCTGTTCTTCCACGTCCTTTCAGCCTCACTGAGACTAATCAGTAACAAACCATAAAGGTAAAAGACAGTGAAATAAGTGACACTTAAGTGTCACATAAGTGACAATGAACTTCTCATGAAGGATATGAAAGGAAGAACTCACCAAAGTTCCTTCCTAATTTCCAGTTATGCTTCACTTCTTCAGAGTCCTCAGCCAGCTCAAATGTAAATGGCCCAGAATGTGAGTGGACCGGAGCGGACTTAGCTTTTACAATGAGATGTGTCCCTTCTTTTTTGTCACACACATCTAAAGAAGGAGCCACTAATGTTGGCATATGATCACTCAAGTCAGACAAGTAAAGCAGGATGGTGCCAGTGCCAGTCTGTGGTGGAATACCTATATAGGAGCAAAAGAAACAGAAAAACACACATAACCGGGTATGGACAAAAGCCGTTCCATCGGCAGGATCTCTGTCAGGTTTATCCTACTAGTCACACATAACACAAGTTTTAAACATTAGGATCTTCTACATTACAATTCTCCACTTAGACCTTTAGTCTTGCTATCATTTTATATCTAACATGCACCTCATCTCAAACAGTCCAAATACTGCTTGAATATTTTCTGACTGGCTATTTACCATGATCAACAGCATGAATGATGATGGTGTACAGGCTGTTGTTCACATAAGAAGATTCTTGATCAAATTCTTTTGCCACAGTAAGAACTCCAGAATTCTCATCCACACTCAGCCAACCATCTGGGTCATGGGCTAGTTCATATCTTAAAAAGAAATCAAAAAGTAACAAGTGCTATATTTTCTTCAATGGATTTTGAAGAATAGAAAATTTCTACTACATCTTTCTTTGTTCTTCTGAGCTCTGTAGGAATTTTTACTTGTTAATGATGCTAACTTCTGTTAACTGTATGACAAGCTGTGTGTTTCAACACAGCCTACACACAGGTCCCCGTACAAGTTTCCACACCTTGTACAGGCCCATCAAACTGTACCTGGGAACTAAGAAAATATCTAATTTCCACATCAGATTAGCATTCTTAGAGCCAAGCATACCTTAGTCCTTTCTATGGCGTCGAAATTTTGTCATCAAATATAAATAATGCGACCTGGTTTTAGGCAAGACTATTTTAAAGACAACAGAAATATTGAGCAACCAAGGACTGACTGCACCTTTAAATTGTATCTTATAGAACCAGCTATCTGGATCTGCAATAGCATCAATAGTAAACGTGCACCTTTAATGTGTATGTTCATATAACTGTAAATACATTTGTGTATATATATTCATATATGTACATATACCAAATTAAACTTGAAAACCACTTTATATTCCTAAGCTATTTCTTATTCTGAGAGTTAGAGGTATCTCCACTTACTTTATCTTATTTGGCACATCATCTGGATATGTGGCAGGATACCTTCTAAATACTCTCCCAGGCTTCATTGAATCTTCTTTTTGGACAATAAGTATAGGAGGATGAAACCTAGGAGCACGGTGTGACTGCAAGACCTTGATGTTCACAGTTGTATTTGTGGATTGTAAGCCTAAGATCATCACAATGCCGTTATTACACAAGAAAAAAGGTTCTTCATTTGCTACAGAAATGACAAGTCTCATCTCAGAGACATCTTCATAGTTGAGAGGCTGAAAACCACAAACAAAAGTCTGATTAGCAATTATGACTTTTGGTTTGGCAGTCACCTCTATACACCTGGAACTCAGAGGTGAGCTAAGCTCACCAAACCCAGCTAAGAAGCTAAGCTATTGGTCTAATCAGGCGGGACACGCTACACATTGCCGTGCTGTAGCTCAGCTATTACTGCTCCTTACCTCGATAATACTCAAAATGCCTTCATTTGTGTCTGGATCCGTCTCAATGATGAACTGTCCCTTCTCATTGCCTTTTGTTACTCTGTATTTTGCTCTCCAAGCTGGAGTGTTGCGGGAGTCTTTATCTTCCACTTGGAGCCGTAATACAGCTGGATGTTCCTGACCTGCTGAAATCTGCAGCTGGTACTGGGAGGGGAAAAGAAAGAAATAAGGACTCTTTCTGTTTCCCAAGAGGAAGAAGCTTGTTAGCCAGTTCTGAGCCAGAGTTCCACTACCAGACCATAAGGAGCTACTTTCTGCACACAATCGTTGCCTGCGGTGGTTCATGTGTCCCCACTCAGTGACAGAGAACCCCTGGGGGAGTTACAGAACTAACTTTCTTCCAACACATTCCCACATGATGAAGTTATTACTAAACCTGATCTTCTTCTAAAACCAGGAGACTACTCATCTCTCCTAATATTGACTATAGCAATAGACCCATAAATGCCACTGGGGCTTTTCATCCGGGATTGTCTTCCGCCATGTAAAAGAGATTGGTGCATACAGGCTTAGACCAGAACTAGTCTGCAGATGTTACATACCTGACCTTGCAGGAAGGAAGTATGCGTGAGATTTTAGGTAATTTCTTCACAATGGTTTAAGTTTTTGATGGTGCAATGTAGCCACCAGCTTGCCTAACTAGCCCTCCAAACACAGGCTAAGAAATGCCAATTAAATCATCTAAGGCAGAAATATGTCTTAAAAGATGAGATGGTAATAAAACGTAATTTTTGTTTATTTTCTTCATATAAGTTGGTTACTGGTTGAGATCTGAAAATTCAGCCTTGTGCCTTCTACTATGTAAGCAATACTGTCCTTGCATCACAACTTTTAAAAATGCTGTGAAGAACAATAGATGTACTCAGACAGAGGGAGCAAATCACTCCTGTAAGAAAGCTGGGAATTTTACTAGACTGGAGTTAATGATGACAAAGCACAGATTTCTTGTAAAAACCTGTTTTGGCAGATTATCTAACCTTATTCCCTCAGGTCTTCTAAAGAGCATTCTGCAGCTAGGAGACCTACCATACTAACACACTGGTGTATTTGCTTTCATGGGTGACTTTGTACCCATTGTTGTAACTCAGTATCTATTCTTACTGTTCACAACTTCAGATATTTAGACATACCAGTGCTTGACACAACTCTGCACTCTGGATGTGTGTACTGGTTTTGGCTGGGATAGTTAATTTTCTTCATAGTAGTTTGTATAGTGCTATGTCTTGGATTTGTGATGGAAACAGTGTTGACCACATAGGGATGTTTTAGTTATTGCTGAGCAGTGCTTACACAGAGTCAAGGCCTTTTCTGCTCCTCACACCCCTCCACCAGCGAGCAGGCTGGGGGTGCACAAGAGGTTGGGAGGGGACACAGCTGGGACAGCTGACCCCAGCTGACCAAAGGGATATTCCATGCCATACGGCATTGTGCTCAGCAATAAAAGCTGCAGAGAAGAAGGACGAAGGGCAGGACATTCGCAGTGATGGCGTTTGTCTTCCCAAGTAACCATTATGGGTGATGGAGCCCTGCTTTCCCAGATATGGCTAAACATCGGCCTGCTGATGGGAAGTGGTGAATTAATTGCTTATTCTGCTTTGCTTGTCCATGTGGCTTTTGCTTTGCCTATTAAACTGTCTTTATCTCAACCCACAAGTGTTTGCACTTTTACATTTCCACTTCTCTCCCCCATCCCACGCAGGGGAGTGAGCGAGCGGCCATGTGGTGCTGAGCTGCCAGCCGGGTTAAACCACAACAACGTGTCAATGTGCAAATTGCAAAAACAGCCTTTGTGGGACCTGAGCTATTAATGGGACCAGAGCCTGAAAATGGATAGCTCTTAGCCGAATTCAAGTGTAGTTGTCTGCTTTTCCCAGCTTTTAACTCCTCCGAGCTCTCTTCCTGCCAGCAACCTCAACTGCTCCCATTCACACAGCAAATGCTCTACAGGCACCCTCACAGCATGTGCCAGCAGAAGCACTGCTACCGCGCCTAACTGCCCCATTCAGACGTACCGAGTTCGAGTTCGAAGGCAGGCAGGTTTAGGGCCACTGAGGGCTTCATGGATCAGAACTAGGATCTTTCAAGAGTCGATTGTAATCAGCACTTAGCCCCTCTCAGACGTTACAGTAAGCTAGTCTGTCAGCATCCTTAGACTAACGGTGAGACAAAAACCTTCCAGTGCTGTACGCAGAACACTAGCAGAGTTTATCACTGTCAATAGCCAAGCATTCTCTTACTGTCCACATTTTTGAGAGATACTTCTTCTAACACGTAAGGCTCATTTGCACGTGTTTTGGCCTGATTCTGCAAGTGTCTGAGGGTTCCCATTTAGTATTTAGTGTATTTAGCAGTTTGAAGGACTGAACTGTATTTAGAAAGGCTCAATAAAGTAATAATGCTTTTCCTTACATTATCCCTAGTAAATACAGGGAGGTGGTTGTTTCCATCTTCAACAGCTACATTCACTGTTGCAGTAGATGACAGCTGGGGAGTTCCATGGTCACTGGCTTTAATCAGAAGTTTGAAAGAGTTGGCAGTCTGAAAAACAGAAGAAAGGAGGGGCCCAACTTAGTGCAGAAACAGTTCCCACATTTTGCCAGTCACAGCTACAAAGCTGGATGTGAGACTCTCCTTCCCCTTACACCTGGTTAACGTATAGTGAACACATACCATGCACTAAATGATAAGAAGCTGCCATAGGTACATCACCTTATAATCCAGGCATTCTGACAGATGTATTGATCCTGTGGTAGGATCAATATTAAATATGAATCCATCTGGAAGGGGCATTTGCATACTTAGAGAATAGGACACCTGAGAATTCACAGTGCTGTCTTCATCTTTGTCCAAGGCAGTAACTTGGAAAACTGGCTCATCTAGGATGAAGAATTGAAGACATTAATAGAAGTGTTTAGTCCCGACATGGAGTTTCCCAGGCCTGTCTGCAGGCTCTTAAACACACAAGTCCTAAGAAAACCTGTAACTTCTCCTGTGGCTACAGTTATCTCTGCAAAGACTCTGGCCGCCACCTCATTTGGGTGGCAAATCTGCCTAAAGTACTGTTAGACAAAAGAGAGAGTTACCGCACTCCTGAATTTACTTTACCAGAAACATTCACTAGTTATTAATGCCAGCCCTCAGCCAGCTCCCGAGGAGCTGGCAACATGCCCACATGTCTACACACCCAAATTAAGTCTTTGTATTTCTAAAACAATGTGTCTGATCATCTTCTGTGAAGCCGTGTGCATGTGCAGGTTCCAGATCCACAGTTCAGTTTAGTCTGCTAAATCTTGGCTTGTAGTTAAGAAGAAATATCTTAGTTTTTCCAGAATGCCTCCAATGTTATGCTAATGTACATTGAGGTTAATCAGACAAGAAGTCAAGAGGTAGGAAGTAGTCCTTCACAGGAAATAGTCCCTAAACCCACAAGTGTTTAAGTAAAACCTAGGGAGAAGAACGGATTTAGTAAGAAAGGAAAAAGAAAGACAAAGGAATTAAAAAGAGAGCACTCATACACAAAACCCGTAGTATCCCTTGTTTGGATGACGCTTACCTTTACTGTGGTTCTCTCTTATTGTAATGCTGTATTCCTCCTTGGGAAACTCAGGTGCGTTGTCATTAATATCTTTAACCTTTATCTTGAAAAACAAAGGGCTGTCCAATGGTTCACCAGTTTTTCTGCACACAACATCGAAACGTATCTAAATGAGTAGCGACACAGATATCAGAAGGGAATGAATGTTACCATTTAGCTATCAGAATGGAGCAAAAAACTTTCAATTTTGAAGCTTCTTCAGTCACATTTGGCTAGCGTTTGGCTTTGAGTTACATCACTAAGTCATTATTTCACCTTTCAAAGGTAGTATATTCATAAGGGTCACCCAGTGCATTAAACGATGCTTTTAAAAAAACCAGTACCTGGAGCTAGATCTGGGTTATTTGCAATGACTGCCTAATGTAAAATACATAAGTATCCTTGGGGCCAGGCAAAAGAATACTTTCACACGTGCTTCCCAATTCTGAAGTATTTATTCCAGTAGTACATTCAGTTTTCTCTAGCTGCATTTCTATGATGTTTTAGCTCCATATCCATGAATGTGCAGAGGATTCAATTCTGAATGCTGAATTCTCCTTTGCTACACTTATTTCTGCTTTAAAACCAAGCCCAGACTGCCTGCCTGCAACAGCCATGTGTCCAGTGAGGGGGAACAGAAAGCTCTCCAAAATTTATCTTTTCATTATGGAACGCAAGATCTTGCACAGAAAGCCACATGGAACGGTAACTATCAATTAGGTACAGTTAATCCACAGAGACACAAATAGAAATCATCACAGTATAAACATACGGAGACCGCAACTGAAGATTTTTAGCAAGAGGAAAACAAACCCACACTCATGTATTTCATTCATACACTTGTTATCACATTTCTTTCATTACACTTACAGCTTATGATCACTTTTCTGCTTTTTAAGGAGAAACATACGCTTACTGTTAGGTAAAGTTACAGTAATACAGCTTTGCAGCTCCTCCAGTATTATCTATTTTTTTGTAATGCATAACTATTTGCTTCCGTTCTCTTGAATATGAGTTTTTGGGTTTACAGCTCAGAGTTCTGGCCACTATAGCTGTAAAATACCTTGAATGTCAGGACAACTTTTTCATTTTTATATTATGATCAAGGGTCATACCAAAAAGAAGATAGAAAATAAGTGTAAGGATATTTGTGGAAGTCCAAACATGCCATAAAGATTTATAATCAATAGTGATATGGAAGTTACCTAACCATTCTGCTGAGACATCTTAGCATTTATTTAGAGGTTCAAAATAAGAAAAGGAGGTCATAAAAATACACTCTTAAAATTCTTATAAGTGTGTCTCATGCCTGTGAAGCATTTAGCCATGAGAAAGCAGTTAATATTTGCAAACAGTTTTAAGTATTTTTTTAAAGTGTGTTACCTTAAAAGTTGGGGTCTTTTCTCTGTCAATGGTACGATGTACATACACATGTCCATTTGCATCATCTTCTATAGAAAACAACCCAATCTCTGGAGATTCATCTACCCCAGGTCCACTGATCAGGTATTTTACTGATGTATTAAATGATTTGTTATTGAACAGCTTTTGAAAAGAGAAGTAGCACAATGCAGTGTAAGGAAGATGGAATGGAAATAAAAAAACTTTAGAGCAATTCTCTTCCTGCCCACCTTCTCTTTGCAGATTGGGCCTTGCTTGCAGGCTTGGTCTCAGCCAACTCAACAGCCTTCTGGCTCGCAGCATCACTACTCTGCACAATGTGCAGGTACCCAGCTCCGGGCAATCACCCTCTTACTCCTCCCGCTCCGTAGCCTTCGTTCCCCTGAGTATGCCTGCAGCTTCCCATAGAGAGGAGCAGTATACCCCCCCCGAGGGGGGGCGTTTACCCCCCCCCCCGCAATTCCACCCAACTCTGTGTAAATAAGACAACTTTGAACAAACAAGTTTTTTAAAAGGGTGCTGTTTGATGGGCAGTTCTTGCCCTCTCCTACCTTTGGTATATTATTGTACAATCTGTGGTGATGAATACTTTACTGAGGTTCAAGAACTTCTCCGAAAAGGTAGTTTGTACCTGTCCAGCATATTTTGGGAATGGTCCTTTGTCGTCCTCTTGAACATAAATGGTGGTGATAACCCAGGTCCTTTTCGTACGCTGTAGAGGACGTAGACTGTCTAACTGATAAGAATCTATCCACTATAGGATAAAGTGTATTTAGTGTCATAGTTTACATATCAACAGTTGTGTGTCTGTTATTATATGATATTGACTACAAACCTGAATACTCTTCTTTTGGATGGCTTGTCTTAAACTGAAATTTTCAAGTTCAGGAGGAAAACTGTTGGCAGCAGTAACCTTGTAAAAAAAAAAAGCGATTGTGAGAAGTGTGGTTAACTAGAAACCATTGATATGTTGTCTAGGAGGAATTTGGCTTCACAGAAACATATTGATCCAGCTTTGACAGCATTATATTAAATTCTATCTTACCCTGGACACTCCATTAATATCATCCATCTCTTTCCAAATGAATTGGCTTGAGAGCTTGGATATACTGTCTCTGGTCAGGTGATGCCAGTCCCTGGCATCTAACACTGCATCTAACAGTCCATGGTATTATCTCTATGGCTTTTCTCAAACCAAGTATCTCCAGTTTTTAAAATATTCACCTCTGTCTCTCTGTGTCTAGTGCTCCTTTAGAAGTTGTCTGGTATTGTCAGGACATGAACCTACTACTGGAAAAAAGTAAAGTCTAGGGAGTATTTCAGGTTCTCAGAGACTCTACTGTGTTCCAAACACCACTGATTTACCAGAAGATGAACACTGGACCGAAGTCTCTAATCCAGATGAGTAAAATAAATTGTTGAGAATGGTGACTGCACCCTGGTTTGCAGGGTTTGCCCTTTTATTAAGCATAAGATTTCTGCACCGGCTTCAAACACTACTTTTTACTTAAAATCTTGTACCAGAACGGAATATGACAGTACTCAGATTACGCTATTGCCATTAGCTCACAGGTGACTTGTACACCTTCTCCTAGTTCCCACTGCTTTCATTGGAAAGCTTGGGGGTTTATGACTCATTCCATCAAATGTTTCCAGTGGCATTTAACAAATGAAACAGAGCTCCTCCTGCCTAGACTTGGGCAAAGGCTGGACCTTTACCTCGCGACCTTTTTCTGCAGAAATAATATACTTATAAAATTGCCATGGCTATGAACTTGCCAAGCAATGGGGGCTCACCAGTAATGCCTTGGAGCTACGCTGTGAAGATGTTGTATGACCTGGGGAAAACCTCTGTGACATAAAAACCGCACGGAAGGCTTTACTACGCTTGCACGTAGTATTTATTAGCTTTGTTCCAGGTTCAGCTCTGCCAGCTCAAAGTTTAACCTGCCAAAGGTTAAACTGTCTGTGCCGGACCCCCGGGACGAGCTGCTTTCCCCTCTGTCTATGTGTAGCCACTTTCGATTATATGGGAAGCTTTGGCTCTGTGCTTCGTGGCTTCCGCACTGCTCCACGTGCACCAGCTGGCTCAGGCCATTGCCGGATCAGTTCCAGACGTGGTCACTGCTGGAAAGGAACAATCCAGTTCAGGCCCGCCAACCCCGCGGAGACACTCGTGGAAGTGCCACTGAGTTACTGCGGGGGCTCGTCAATCCAGCGGCGCCAACACTAAGCACCTGTGCGCTCCGCCAGGCACGAACGCCCTGGGGTCCCTGGCCAGCGGCCCCGGAGGGGCCCCGTCCCGGGAGACCCGAGCCCGGTA